TTTGGGACGCGGCCCCGCGTTTTCCCTCGCCCAGATGGAGGGTGAAAACAAACGCTGGAACGCGGGTGAGGAAGGAGAAAGACGAATAAGCAGGAAAAGAAAGGAAGAGGGAGAAGTGAAGAAGGGGAAGGAGGAGAAAAAGGAAAACACGAGGGAGCAGCAGGGCCAGCAGCCACTTCAAGCCGAGGGCGCGGGGGCCCCACGGGAGATTCTGGGCTGCTCGCGGGGTTCCTCCGGTCCCCAAAAAGCTGCGGGGGCTCCGCGCCACCGCTGGAGATGCCGGGGATTGAACCCGGGGCCTCATACATGCGAAGCATGCGCTCTACCGCTGAGCTACATCCCCTGCGTCCGAACCGGCCCCGCCGCTGCCCTTGGCCGACCCGGTGCCGGTCCCGGTTCCGGAGCGCCCCATGGCGCCGCCGCGGGGCCCCGCAGCCGGCGGACGAGGTGGCCGAGTGGTTAAGGCGATGGACTGCTAATCCATTGTGCTCTGCACGCGTGGGTTCGAATCCCATCCTCGTCGGGAGCGGTGTGGCTTTTGCATCCCGCGCCCACCCTTTTCTCCTCCCGTTCTCTCCTTTGCTGCAGCCCGGGGGGATTTGGAGATCGCTTGGGAAAACTGGATATCCACCCCTTGGGGCGCGTCCAAAAGTGCTGCGGGAGAAAAGGGACCAGGGAGACGGGTTGAACACGCAAGTTTCGAGGGTCGCGCTCAGCGCCGCAGAGGCCCCTTGGGGACCTGAGGGTGGCGGGTCCCCCCGATGTCCCCACGGAACCTCCCGCCGGGATGCGGGGTGGAAATCGGGGAAACCGCGGCCGCGGGTCTCTGTGGCGCAATCGGTTAGCGCGTTCGGCTGTTAACCGAAAGGTTGGTGGTTCGAGCCCACCCAGGGACGCGGAGGAGGTTTTTATTATTATTTATTTCCCCTCCTGAAAAATTCGTTTATTTTTCTGCTCAAAGCAAAGTGAAATCATCAGTTCGCTGCTGCCAGGGGGTGAGGGTGCAAGGGGAAGGGGTGGATCTTCGCGTGGAAGGGAACGGGATGAGGGTCGTGGGCGGCAATAAGGGGAGAGAACGCAGTTTTATCCTCCAAAAAGAAAAGCAAGGAAGAGGAAAATAAATCAAAACAGAGAGCTGCATTGGCCGGGAATCGAACCCGGGCCTCCCGCGTGGCAGGCGAGAATTCTACCACTGAACCACCAAT